TTGTGGACTGATTTCAAACCTCCTCGTGTAAGTTTGATTGACTCTTTCCTGGTTTATTGATTTCCCTGTTTCTTGGGTTGATTTGAAAGCTTTCCTTAGCCTTCGATTCTCATGTTTCCGACTTGATTTGTTTGTTTATTCACGAATCAGTAGTTTCCCTTGATTTACCATGTACTGGTTGGTTTATTCTGTTTCTTACCTTATTTGGTTAACCGTGTATTTCAAAGATTCTTCTTTAATTCTTCCCTTAATTAAACTCCTATGTATTTACCCATATTCGTCTACTTTGCACAAGATGTTTACTTGGTCTCATTCCTTAAATAACTTCCGCCCATTACCGTTTGAGTTTGAACTCCTTAATTAAAGGAAGTCCATATACTGATTGATTTTAATTGGTACATAGTTCCATAATTACTACCAAACCATGATTTTTGCCTTATTTCTGCACCTGTTTTCAAACTATAAATGCCCTGTTCTCTCATTAACACAACACACGAACACTCTTAGTTTCTGAACTCACACTCACACTCAAAGGTAATCTCTCTTGTTACTTCTACTGTGGCCTGCTCTCAAGCCCTGCTACTTGCTTTTACTGTATTTTGCTCTTTGAAACTGGTATATCCTGATTAAGATTTTCAGCAATCACAACAATGTGTTTACTTAATACATTTACCCTCTTGTCTACCTACTATTTGTGTTTAGTTCAGTACTTATTTTAGCATGTTGCAATTTCCTTCTGCCTGTTCTGCACCTACTATGCATCCTAAATGTGTCTGATGATAATGGTTTGTTTGAGGCATGACATTATTAAGCATCATTGTCTATGACTCAAACTTGACTCCCCTGGAATCATAACCTCTATATCATCGTCATATGTTGTGTATTCTTGCTGATTTTGTAAGCATAACAGCACTCTCTATTGTTGTGTATGCCCAGAATTAGCTAATGCCTAAGTACATAGGCTCTTCGCAATCCCAATCCCTGAACCTCTTTTGTGAAATCCTCAATCCTGTAACTGTTTCCCTGCCCCTCTTCCTCTCTTCTGTACTTTCTTAGTTCTTTAAACTCTGTTTTCTTCACTTGCACTCTCTCTTAGACTTGTGTTTTGCCCCTCTCTTGTGAGCCTTGCCTTGGGACCCTTTGAGTTCCCTTTGAACTTGGACACTTGAGGGCTGGCACATCCACACTGCACTTGTCCCCTACTCTGGTAATACAATTTGGGTGTAAGCATTGCCCGGAGTCCCATTGAGGCTCTTAGGGAACTCTGACACACTCAAATTGGTGAAAGTCTTTGGATCGATGGTTTTTGAGTTGGTCTATATCATAATTCAGACATGAAGTCAAGAATCAGGCCTTTTAGGGTTGTAATTATTTCCTTTGTATTTTTCTGATGTATTTATTACCCTGGCTTGTAATAAATTGTAAAGAATACTCGGGGTTTGGCTAGTGAAAGAGGGTTGGGGTAATTATGCATGCAAAGGGTAGATATCTTGCCTATAGGACTATTCTAATTCTGCATATTCAACTACATGTAGAAATCTTGCCTATAGGACTGTTCTAATACTTCATATTCAAATACATGTAGAAATCTTGCCTATAGGACTGTTCTAATTTCGCATATTCAACTACATATAGAAACCATGCCTATAGGATTGTCATAATTCAACATATTCAATTTCACCAAGCAATCATGCCTATAAGATTGTTCTCATGTAATTCTGCATAATCCAAACTGCCTTTAGATACCATGTTTATAAGGTTTTAAACAAGTTCTACATTTAGATACTCTGTTTATAAGGTTTAAAACAAGTTCTGCATTTAGAAACCATGTTTATAAGGTTTAAAACAAGTTCTGCATTCATAAGTGTTTAAAATCAGCAACGTGTAGAAAACATGCCTATAGGAGCTTTTAAATGAATTTGATTCCCTTCACCCCAATGCTAGCGCAAAATCAGTAATAATATGTACCATCACCTGCAGAACCTGTAACCAATTCGTTTAATTCTGCATCTCTTTTGATAATCTAAGTCCCTCGCTTTACAGTGTTAACAAGCATGTATTTTTATGATTTCAAACAATTCATTTTTGAGCTTCATTGTCTTATCGCCTTCAGAATTCAGTAGATAGCATGTCTATAGGATCCCGTCTGAGCACTTAGGCAAGCTTTAGAATAATAACAAAACTGAATCCGCTTCTGTTAATTATTACAACCAGCAGGCAGTCCTGATTTGGGCTTCTTATCTTAATTATGTAATAAATCAATCTGCCCCAGCTTTTAGCTCTCCTTCATATTTAATTCTAATCAGACCTTAACAGTATGTGCAAGTCATGCTAATTATACGCTTTCTTTGTTTGAGGAGGTCTATATGAGCCCTGTTTATTTCTATGTGTTTTCCCAAATATGCAATATATGTTTTGTATGTCGCCATAGAATTTTACCTTTGAAACCCCAAATAAGCCTAATATCCATCCCTTTAGGATTAGTAGTCCTAAATGCCTCCGGGATTGATAGGAATGGGACGGGTAACAACATGCAATAAGTAATCGAGACCAATTCGCGTTTTAAATACCTTAACGGGGTGGGATGGGTAGATATGAATATGATGACCACGCGATAATGTCACGTGTAGCCCCTCATTGAGGAGTGATTATCGGGCATTGTGTGGGGTGATCTATATTATTAATAAACCCAGGACCCCTCTCCCTTTATTCTTTATTTCTTTCTTGTCAGCATTTTAACTCTTTATTTTATAAACCAACTTTTCTAATTACTCTTTCAAACCTTTATGTGATGAAATCCCCTCTTATTTGTGTCTTATTTGTTTATATGCTAACTGTACCCAAATTCACAATAATTGTCTGGCCGGGAACCACACTAGTGGATTCTGAGGGGTGCCTAACACCTTCCCCTTAGAATAATTTCAAGCCCTTACCCTATCTCTGGTTGTTCAAATCAAAGTACTTTGGTCACCTAATGTACCCTAATCATTAGGTGGCGACTCTTCAATTTCAAACTCAGTTCCCAAAAGGAATGAGTTGTCCCTCCAAATGTCATAAACCCGATTTCCGCAGAGGAAAAAGGGGGCGCGACATATATAATGGTTGGTTGACATATATTTATTTCTCATTCTTCATTTATTGTTGGTGGTTGCAAACATTAACAAGTGCCATTAAACTCTTTCTTTATTGGAAAAGTGAGTTAGGGTTTTGCAGAAGTAAATGTCAAAGACCCAACGCTTTAAACCTTACTTAATTGAATCACTTAGGAATAAGTGAGTTTTATTTGGCATAAATTGATTGCTCTTAATCGCAACTCTTTTTATTTGGAAAAATCATAAAGAGGAAATACTACCCCAACTATTAGAAAATACTGGGTAGTCATTTAGGAATCATTTGCATATCTAAAGGACCTTCCATTAGAAATATATCATATTAATACCGATAGCATTACATTTCATTGAAAGGGACAAAACTTTGGTTTCCTTAATCAAATTATTTACATTCTCACCGTTACAATTAGTTATCTCTTCGAATCACAATCATATCATACTTTTTGTTACAATTAGAGGAATAGAATTACGACCTAAGTCAAGTAGCACACTACTCGAGTAACCTTTTCACGCCTATTCCCCGCGGGATTGAACCCCAACCTTGTTGGGTTATTATATTTGACACTGACCGCATTACAGTACTTAATTAAAGTTTAGTTTGAGCATATCAAATTTTGGCGCCGATGCCGGGGAACACAATTTTGACATTACTAATTAGTGTGTGCTTTACTTTACGTCTTATTCTATTCCATCACACTTTGTTTGTTTTGTTTGGTGTTGATAGGAAGACATGGCCGAGTAAGAGACAGAAATGGAAAAAAATCCTTCTGCGGACATAGATGAGTACACTGAGGATAAAAATGCTATTATACCTCCGGTTGTTGGTGCTGCAACTTTCAAGGTGGAACATGGTTTAATCCTAATGCTCAAAGCGGAGGGGTTTTTCAAGAATTCCACTGATGATGATCTGACACAACATCTTAGAAACTTATTGGGTATGTGTGCGATGCATAAGCAGAACAACGTCTCAGATGATGCCCTAAGGTTGAGGGTGTTCAAGTACTCACTAGCTGGGGACGCAATGAAATGGCTTCAAAATATGCCACCAAACTCCATTCATTCTTGGCCTAAACTTGTCCGAGCATTCTTAGCTAAATGGTTCCCACAAAGTAAGAAATCAGAGCTCTGGGATAAAATTTTCTTTTTCAAGCAAGTACTGGGAGAACATCTACACGAGGCACGGGATCGATTCAAGTTATATTTGGTGAGGTTTGCCAATCATGGTTTTCCGAATTCTATCTTGTTGGAGAAATTCTACATGGGTTTAGATCCTATGAACCAATCTATAGCCAAGAATGCAGTTGATGGATCTTTTATGGACAAGACATTCGCAAGGATCACACAAATCCTTGACAAATGGCACAACATGATCAATCTTGGCACTACGAGGACACCACTGGTGGAATTGCATATGGTTCTCCCTCCTTGACCAACATGATCAAAGAGAATCAAGAGAGAGATCATGTAATCGCAGGGCTTGCCACCAATGTCAATGTGTTGACAAAGATGTTCACTGAAAGCCAAACGAAGAAGGTAAATGTGGTGGAGGATGTGAAACCCATATCAAATGAAGATTTTAAGGAAGCAAACTATGTCAACAACTCTCAAGTAGGATATCAAAGGCAACAATACCAAGGTCAGGGACAACAAAATCAATGGAGGCATAACCCGCAATGGCAAGGCAACCAACAATGTCGAAATGACCAATGTGGCTCAAATCAAGGAAATTGGAATAACAACAACAGCAACATCTCAAATCGGAGTTCAAACCCTTATGTTCCTCCAAAGGGTCAATATTCAAATCAAGGTTGCTCAAGTGATTCCAAGGTGGAAAGTATGCTTGAACGGGTATTGAAAAATCAAGAGAGGTCCAACACTTCTATGAGGAATATGACCGAGCTTGTGGGTTTTCATACCGCATCCATTCAAAAGTTGGAGATTCAAATGAGAGATTTTTCATGCGAACAAAATCCGAAGCAAAAAGGGACGCTTCCAAGTGATACAGTTGCGAACACAAAGGGTAGTAGGAGTGGTCCAACTTCTCATTGCATGGCAATTACTACTCAGAGTGGGAAGGTACTTCATGGAGAGAACAAACAAGTGGTTGAAGTTGAAAAGTCCAAACAAGTGGTTGAGGCACAAGTTGAAGAGCCAATTTTTGTTGAAGAAAAAAGGGTTCCGGAAGAGTTGAAAGTGCAAGAAGCAAACCGGGAAGATGTAAAGGAAAGGGTAAAAGAGACACCAAAAAATCTACCACCTATTACTAGACCTCCTCCTCCATTCCTTCAATGACTTTCTAGGAAGGTCGATGATAGCAAACTCGAAAAGTTCTATGACATTCTCAAGCAGTTATCGGTGAATATTCCATTTGTGGAAGCATTTCAAGAGATGCCGGGTGTTGCTAAATATTTGAAAGACTTGATTACCAAGAAGAAAACCACCAAGAATGAAGTGGTGAATGTGACTCACCGGGTTAGTTCCATCATTGCAACATCCACCGTTCAAAAGAAAGAAGACCCGGGAGCTTTCACCATTCCATGTACTATTGGGGCACGTAATTTTATAGGAGCCCTTTGTGATAATTGGGCTAGCATCAACTTAATGCCTCTTTCCATTTACAAGCAAGCAGGGTTATGTATGACAAGGACCACAAGTATGAGATTTCAAATGGCTGATTGTTCCATAAAGAGACCGGTGGGAATTGTCGATGATGTGCTTGTGAAAGTGGGAAAGTTTCATTTACCCGCCGATTTTGTAATCCTTGATTGTGTAGTTGACAAAGAGATCCATATCATCTTGGGGAGACCATTCCTTGCAACAGGAAGAGCACTAATGGATTCGGAATGGAATGAGAACAAATTCCGTGTGAATGATGAAGAGGTTACATTCCAAGAAAGCAAGGGTATGAAACTACCATATGAATATGAAAGCATCTCGGTGATCGATGTTGTTGATGAAGTGGAAGTTGCGGCTGAAATGAAGATGGAAGAACAATGCCTCGGTGAGGCGTTAGCAGAAATTTGTTAAGCTTCGAGGGTAAAGATATGGATTTGTATATGGAATCAGTCAATGCATTGGAAGGGCTTGTGTCCTATACTTATGCTCCGAAGAAGCTCTCCCTTGACTTGGAGAATAGAGCTACTCCTCCTGCAAAGCCTTCAATTATTGAGCCACCGCAACTAGAGCTCAAACCACTTCCACCACACATGAGGTATATATTTCTTGGCTCAAATGACACTCTACCGGTAATTGTTTCTTCTTTGTTGAATGATGTGCCGATAGAGCAACTCTTGAATGTCTTAAAGGAGCATAGGCAAGCAATTGGATGGACAATTGCCGACATCCGGGGGATTCCCGTCGGAATTGCGAACACAAAATCCAAGTGGAGAATGAGAGTAAACCAAGTGTGTAGCTTCAACAAAGGTTAAACCCTTCCATGCAAGAAGTGGTAAAGAAAGAAATCATCAAGTGGCTGGATGCCGGGGTAGTCTACCCTATTGCCGATAGTTCTTGGGTGAGCCCGGCGCAATGTGTGCCGAAAAGGGGAGGCATGATAGTGATTGAAATTGATAAAAACGAGCTCACCCCAACAAGAACGGTGATCGGATGGAGGGTGTGTATGGATTACCGGAAGCTAAACAGTGCTTCGTGCAACGACCATTTCCCTATGCCTTTTATTGATCAAATGCTTGATCAGCTAGCGGGGAAGGTCATTCTATTTTTTCTTGGATGGATACTCCGGCTACAATAAAATCAACATTGCATTGGAAGATCAGGAAAAGACAACATTCACTTGTCTATATGGGACGTTTGCATTTAGCCAGATGCCATTTGGGCTATGCAACGCTCTTGACACTTTCCAAAGGTGTATGATGTCAATATTCTCCGATATGGTGGAGGATTTCTTAGAGGTATTCATGGACGATTTCTCGTTCTTTTGAGTATTGTCTAGACAACCTTAGACAAGTGTTTAAGATATGTAAAGAAACGAACCTTGTGCTAAATTGGGGAAAAGGCCACTTTATGGTGGACGAGGGCATTGTTTTGGGCAACAAAATTTCCAAACAAGACATAGAAGTTGACCGGGCAAAGATCGAGATCATTTCCAAGCATCCTCCACCTACTTCAGTTAAAGGTGTCCGAAGTTTCTTGGGGCATGCCAGTTTCTATAGGCGTTTCATCAAGGATTTTTCCAAACTTGCAAATCCCATGTGCAAACTCCTTGAGAAAGATGCATAATTTGTGTTTGATGAGAAGTGCCTCAAAGCCTTTGAAGAATTGAAACAAAAGCTCACCACGACACCTATTATTCTCACATCTGATTTGTATCATCCATTCGAACTCATGTGTGACGGCAGTGGTGTAGCTATTGGGGCAGCGCTTGGCAAACATCATAACAAGGTTGTCCACCCGGTCTGTTATGCAAGCAAGACGCTCAATGGCGCGCAAATGAACTATACAATGACTGAGCAAGAACTTCTTGCCATTGCCTATGCCTTTGAGAAATTCCGGGCGTATTTGTTGGGATCCAAGGTTATAGTGTACACAGACCATGTTGCTCTTCGCTATCTTTTGGCAAAGAAGGATGCAAAGCCTAGGTCTATTCGGTGGGTCTTGTTGTTGCAATAATTTGACTTCGAAGTCAGAGATCGAAAAAGGACGGAAAATCAAGTGGCGGATCATTTATTAAGGCTTGAAGAGGCAGGAAGACCAAAGGAACATCTTGAAATCAACGATGCTTTCCCGGATGAACACATATTGGAATTATCTAACACTTTTTCTCCTTGGTACGCCGATATTGCTAAGTACTTGGTTAGCGACCTTATTCCGGATGGATTGGAAGCTTATCAGAAGAAGAAGTTTTTGACAGATTGTCGGGAATTCTATTGGGAAGAACCATTCTTGTTCCGTGTTTTTGCTGATAACATCAACAGAAGGTGTGTTCCAGAAGAGGAGATTATGCCAATTCTAAAGGCATGCCATGACTCACCGGTCGGGGGTCACTATGGGGAAAATTTAACGGCGGCAAAGTTGCTTGAATGTGGTTATTATTGGCCGTCGATTTATTATGATTCCAATCAAATGGTCAAGGCTTGCAACCAATGTCAAAGGCAAGGATCAATCTCCAAGAGGCATGAATGCCAATGCAGTTTGTGATGGAGATAGAGAACTTTGATGTGTGGGGAATTGATTTTATGGGCCCCTTTGAAAGCTTTTGTTGTATGAAATATATCTTGGTGACTGTGGACTATGTGTCCAAATGGGTTGAAGCGATTTCCTTACCAAACAATGAGGAAAGGAGTGTTACCACATTCTCAAAGAAAACATATTCACACGGTTTGGTACTCCTAGAGCCATTCTTAGTGATGGTGGGTCTTACTTCTGTAACAAGGCTTTCACGGTGCTACTAGAGAAATATGGCATCAAGCATAAGGTGGCCACACCTTATCATCCCCAATATAGTGTCCAAGTTGAAGTTTCCAACCGAGAAATAAAGAATATTCTAGAAAAGAATGTTAATGCAAACAAGACCGACTGATCAATAAAGATAGATGACGCGTTGTGGGCTTACCGCACAGCGTACAAAACCACTATTAGCACTTCCCCTTATCGGTTAGTATTCGGCAAGGCTTGCAATCTACCCGTAGAACTGGAGAACAAAGCCATGTGGGCTTTAAAAAGGTCGAACTTAGACTGGGCTGAAGCTGCAAATTTGAGGTTAACACAACTCGATGAAATAGAAGAATTCTGTTTCCATGCATATGAAAGTGCAGCTGTGTACAAAGAAAGGATGACGTTCGTCCACGACAAAAAGATCTTAAAAAGGGAGTTCAAGTCGGGTGACTTGGTTTTGCTCTTCAACTCAAGGCTTAAATCGTTTTTGGGCAAGCTCAAATCGAAATGGTATGGTCCGTTCAAGGTTTTAGATGTATCCCCTTTTGGAGCTGTGGAATTAGAATTGGAGGATGGGCTCCGAACCTTCAAAGTAAATGGCGAGCGAGTCAAGCACTACATGGGCACAGATGGAGAAAAACACATGGTAGAATAGTTGGCTCTCATAGATGGTCCATGCCCGACCAATGAGTGAACCCAAAGCAAGGCCAACTTCGTTGTGCTGCGTTAAATCAAGCGCTTCATGGGAGGCAACCCATGTGTGGTAACATCCTTTTTATCCTTTAAATTTTAACTTTTTTTAGATAGATTTAATTGAGCAAATTGAAGTGTGTGTTAGAGTGTAAATGATTCAAAAGATCATAACACAGGGTAAAATTGTGCGTGAAATGAAAGAAAAGTCACCATGGGAAGTCTGTTACACATATGCAGTCGCATTTTAACTATGCGGACCGCATAGTTGTCGCAGAATTGGGCAGTGTTTTTAGCAAATATTAATGGTCAAAATGCAGCGAGGACATGCACTTTGCGGACCGCATTTTAGTTATGCGATCGCACAACTGCACCACATTGTGTCAATGAACAACTCAAGTTAAAACCACCGCATAACACTTATGCGATCGCATAAGGTGTTATGTGGTGACTTATCCACCGCAAAATACAAAGGTAAGTATTTCTACCCTTTCGCATATCAAAACCCACCAACATTCTAACACTTTTAAACAAAACAAAAAAATCAGAAAAAAAACATAACAAAGAGAAAAAAAAGGAGAACCGAAAACGGCTGATTGAATTGAAAAGATTAAACAACGATCCCACCTGTTGAATTCATCTCTCAAGTTTTCTCAATTCTCCATTACTGGTATGTTCTCCTTTCCCAATTTCATCCCTATAAAGTTTAGTTCAAATTTTTTTATGTGTTCTCCTATTTTTAGTTTCCTTTAGTGTTTATTCTTTTTCCCTTTTTTTATTTGGGTATCTGCTCCTAATGGGGGGGGGGGATTCTTGGATAATTAGTTAGGCTTGGGGTGCTGGGTATGTAAATTAGGGTCACCATTGTAGAGGGTGGAGTTCAAAACATTGAGGAAGAAGACATTTGCGGACCGTAGTCGATTTGCGGTCCACATTGTTGCCGCATAAGAAACCCTAGGTGACATGAGGAAGATGACAAAATGCGGAGGCTATGCGATTGCATAAGTGATATGCGGACCGCAAAGCCACCGCATACTAAAATAGTTTCTGGCTTTTTGTAACATATTGTTTACGGTTAATTTGCGATCGCAAATCCGTCTTTGCGGTGGCTTTTGCGATCGCTTAGTGTGATGACCATACCAAGCTAATAGTTTTGCGATGGTTATGCGAACCACATAATGGATATGCGATCGCAAAACCTATCGCATCTCCTTTTAACAGACAGAAGTTTTGCGACAGGTTTGCGGTCCGCATAGTAGTTATGCTACCCCATACCCTTGTCGCATACTTGATTTTCTTTGTAATTTTTCTTTTGATGTTTGCTACATTGCTCACGCTTCATTTCTTTTTAGATATGGCTCCCAAGAAACATGTATCTTCCAAGAAAAGGGCATCCACCGGTCGTCAAGCACAACAAGCCAAGCGTTCACGACCAGAATCATCCCGACCTACTATTGCACATCCCTCCCAGTCTGATGAGGAGGAGACCTTTCCATCAGTTGACCTACAAGATGAGGCAAGAAGAAAAAGAGGAGATGATTTCCAACTCAGGTTTGGGGTCGAAGGCTGTAGGGATGTGTATAGAGAAGGGCTTACGAAATGGAAAATCCTTGACAAGAAACAACTGAGTATGAATGGGCTACAGGAGCAATACCCTCACATACTGGAGAACATCAAAGCTATAAACCGGGAGTGCTTCACTGAGCTGCCTGATGATTACAATGAAACATTAGTGCGTAATTTTACGCATCTTATGGAACCTCCAGAACACCTCACCACAATCGCAACAAAGTATTCTGTGAGACTGTCTTGGTTAGGGGGAAACAAGTGCTTTGTGGTAGTGACATGATAAATGAGTTCTACTTTCCAAACTGGAGACCGGGCACAGCTGAGTAAGATACCAAATGGGCCAACAGAGATAATGAGCGTGGTTGGATAGCCTT